AGTCGCCTGTTATGGCAAGCATGGGTTGCTGAAGACCTATTCTACCAGTATCATGAGCTTGCTCAAGGGCAATATGGTGTTCATGAGTGAGTAAGTAAGTTATCGTATCGGCTATATTGCAGCCAAATCGCGATGAGAACGTGTTAATTATTCCTTGGGATCGCAAATGGGATCGATGACATGCATCAACCAAGTCAGCGAGCCTGACCTCCCGATCCCGTTAGTGAAAAGTGTTGTCGCCTTTTACGGCGAGCCCGGTTGGGTTGCTGAAGACCTTACACTACCCCGGATCTTCACGGGTATTTTGAAATTATGACAACAAACTTTCAATGAAAGCACTCATTAAACAAGTTCATATTTTCTTCAGATGTATAAAAATATTCATAAATGTATTTTAAGATATTCATAGTATACTTACAAAATAGTGGGGGCCTATTCCCTGCATAAATTCAAATCTCTCTCAATTCAGTACCGCTGCAACCGTCACAACATGTGCTTTCACACGGATCACTCTCCGGCCAAACCTTATGAACTTAACTGAAAATACTGAAAGAAGCTCTCGTAAAAGGCAAGTAACATTCCAATAGGAAGAAGGGATTATTACACTAGTCGATGATATATAGTTCAGTTTATATGGATAATTTTACACTACTTTATACCGTGAAGATCCGGGGTAGAATAGGTCTTCAGCAACCCATGCTTGCCGTAAATAGCAACTATGCTTGTCGTAAGAGGCGACAAACGGGATCGGGTGGTCAGGCTCGCAGACTCGGTTGATGCATGTCATCGATCCCAATTCCGTGGATCGATGCTCATGATATAAATCACTGGATTGTCTTGTCCAGACTCGATTATTTATAGACCGTCGTCATATAGCTGGAATATTGCTGAGTGCGGCGTTAAACAACAAACCAACCAACCAACCGTATCCGAACTAAGTCCGATTGTGCATCAGATGTATATGGTGGAGCTTCTAGTAAGTTCATAATTGGACAGTATACATCACCAACGGCTGAGGCTCTGTCTTGGAGCTTTTAGAACATCTCAAGGAGATACTTTGTACTGGAGGCTGATGAGCCTTCCCTCAAACAACGCCGTTTAAATTTATCCCTTCAATGTATAACTAAATTACGTTCAAACCCATCCATCCCAGCTTGTAATTGCGTGTTTCATCCTCTGCATGAGTAACTGTTTCGAAACAAACCCAAGTTTGTACCGCCACTTTGGGTTGGGATCAACCTCATATTACAGATACTTGGATGTAATATCTCCATACCGGCTTTTGTCTACAGCTCCTTAGGAATTAGACATCTCTCTCACTAACTTTAAAAAATCTGACACAAATCAAATAATATATCAACAGGAATATATACAATTACGAACTGAATATGACATTCCTCAAAAAAGCCTGCGAACACATTCGGGTCGCTCGGATACGGGATCTGTACTGATGAAGATGGGTTGATTGATCCCCTCCCCTTTTAGAGTTGGCAACAACTTTCAGTAGATCAAGAGCCTTCAATCACCTTTTAAAAGATCTTATATATAAGAAGTTAATGTTAAATGATGATACAAATTAATATTAGACCTAAGAATTTGGTCTCCTCTACTACCTTAATAGGGCTACCATCTAAGACTATTTTTGGGTCTGTATGTGGCCGATAATATCTACAATAAATGTATGCAAATGGTCTGAACTTGAACCTTTCTCAAGCGACCATGTTTCGATTTTATTGCGGAATAGCTGCAACTTCCTTTCTTTATTGTGCATAGTTTTACCACGGCAAGATATGTTCAAGTCGTATTCAAAAAGCGACTCATCAATAGAATTTTTAATGACTGAGACAGACTGTTAATTTTAAGGCTGAATAGTGTTACAGACAAGATACTGCCTTGAGGGACACCCTGATCCTGATTATAATGGTCAGACAGGGAGGAACCCATACACACGTGAAATTGTCTGCCTGTTAAAAACTTGGATACAAATTAAGGCAAGGGACCTCTCAACCCCAACTCATGTATATCTGTTAAAATACCATGCTTCCATGTTGCATCATGAGCTTCTTCAATATCAAAAAAGATAGATACAGCATGCTATTTCTTGATGTCAATTGTTTTTTCGGTTTTTACGGTAACCGCATTGGATATAACGTAAGACGTAGAAGATCAAACACATGAACGTCATTCCTTATAATATACACGGGTAGACGAACTGGATAACAGAATAGAAACGTCAGAGGGACAATATGATTCTGTTCGGATGTTCCAGAAGATGGTGGTCGACAGTCGTACAGTGAGGTGAGGTGAAATTGGGTTTAACGTCGCGTCCAAGATTATTGCACTTATATAGCGATAGTCGTACAGTGAAGGCGAAGACAATACCAGTATTTACGTCTCATGGGCAAGGCGGAAAGAACAAGGTAACACAAAGTGTCTTTCTCTGACACTTAGACTAAACTATGGGCATTAAGGAAAAGAGAGTAACTAATAGCAAATAGAATTGGAATTATAAATGATTGTACGCCAAACCAAAGGGAGAAGTCGCGAGAACCGTCTGAAAATTGGAAAAGGGGCTACTGTAAGAATTGATTTTTTGTTGTGCCTACATACCACCCGTGCCTACACCTCGACCACTTGCTTTTAGGGACAAGATCGATCACTATGGATCCTGCGATCAACCTTGACGACTTCGAACAGCTAAAAGCTAGGACTGCGGGTGTGCGGTCCAAACGCAGCCTTAACCAAGACTAACTGAGATAAATTTGGGTTTAACGCCGCGTCCAAAGTTATTGCACTTTACAGCGACGTGCATGCACGAGTGTGTGTTGCTGCTTGTACTAGTCCGGACTAATGCATATTTTATAGTGCTAGCCTACTGAGTTACCATGCCGAAGTTTAACATGAATACTCCACTCAGACAGAGTATACTTGACTCCGAGCGGGCCAGTCCTTGTTTTCGCCTCTGTTTTTGCTGCATTCTGCTTGTGCAAAATCTCAAAATATGTGTTTTCTTTTGACAGACTACCCATCTAACGGTCTTTGGGCAGACGCTCTATCAGCTAGACCACGGAGGCAGTATGTGACCATTAAGAAAGGTTATCGTTTTGCAATTTCATTTTTATTTCGACCTCTGACCAGACAATCCAGTGATTGATATCATGAGCATCGATGCACGAAAATGGGACCGATGCCATACATCAAACAAGTCAGCGAGCCTGACCATCCGATCCCGTTAGTCGCCTCTTACGACAAGCAAAGTCGCCTTTTACGGCAAGCATTGGTTGCTGAAGACCTATTCTACCCCGGATCTTGACGGGTCCAGTCAACCAAATCAGGGAACCTGACCACCCGACCAACGGGATCGGGTGATACATGATACATGTATATGCATCTGATTAAAGACATATCAATAATTGTTCTGTCAACCATTGTTAGTGTGTGTGTGTGTGTGTGTAGGGGGGGGGGGGGGGGGGGGGGGGGTGTGTATTTGTTCAGACAAATCAGTTCTCTGTCAATGTAGTCTTCAGAATACAATAACTGGTTTTACCTTGTGAGACATAACAATGGCATTCATTTTACGGACGCCCGTAATGGGAATATCCCGGTAAGAAATAACAATGGAATTCACGCCTGTCGTGCGCGTCGTTCAATGAATTCCATTGTTACGTTAACCTTCACATTTATCCAAACCTGATGAGTTGTTCTGCTCGTTCAAGGTGTTTTAGTGGGGACTGATAGCACGGAGATGAGCAACAAAGAGTTAGTATATTTCATTTATTAATTTAATTCACAGTGAGACTATACACGTATACAATGAAATCCTGTTAAATCGGCGGAGGTGTTCCCGGTGAAATTGTTCGGATCAACGCATCAATAACACGTAGTAATGTTCGTATTGCTATATAAAGACGTTGCCAACTGTAAATATCCGATGCGCGTTCGGATTAGACGGCGTCTGGTATAACGAGGTTTCACTATCTGTTATGAAAAGTAGAATCACAGATACTCCAAAGATTCTGTACTGCGCCCACTTGCACAAAGCGATCTTAGTGCTAAGATGATCTTAACTCCCATACTTTAACATAGGCTTACAATAGTGTCCGGGCGGTGGGGTGGTCTAGTGGTTAACGCGTTCGCTCGTCACGCCGAAGGTCCAGGTTCGATTCCTCACATGGGTACAATGTGTGAAGCCAATTTCTGGTGTACCCCTCCGTGATATTGCTTGAATATTGCGGTGAAGGTGACTATGCTTGTCGTAAGAGGTGACTAATGAAATCGGGTGGTCACGCTCGCTGGCTTGGTCATCGTATCCCTATTGCATAGAAGGATGCTCATAATATCAATCACTGGATTGTCCAGACTGGTCCAGACTCGATTATAAACAGACCGCCATCATATAGCTGGAATGTTCTTGCTGAGTGCGGCGTTAAAACAACATACACACGAACAAAGTCTTGTGATTATTAAAATGTTTTTGTCGCATTTATAAATAAGTGCTCAAGACACTATTAACACCTGTGGCAATTTCAGTGGAACTGTGTGTACGGGTGGCCAAGTCGTGTCAAGCGCCCTAATTGTGTTGTGTCCCTTTGGACACAGAAACATGACATCGTGGGTTCGAATCCATGTTCGCTCTGATTATGTTAAGCACTGTACCCTTGTTCGTGGGCTTTCCCCAAAGGGGTTAGAGTCTAAGTTTCGGGCCTTCCTCACATATCCAGCTGAAACACTGGGATAAAACCAAACAACTGTTCAACCCCACTCATTCACTCCCGCACAGAAAGCCAGCATAAGATACGTATTTATAAATATATCGACGAATCAATATTACACAGCTTGGCAAATAATACACGGGCGGTTGTAAACCTTGCATGCTATCGTATCGTGCTATATAACTGAGCGTTATGCCATAGAGGTCATATTCATGTAAGATTACACTGCACTTGGCAGTAACCCAAATTCGGGGTAGTGGTATTTTTAGTCGCGGTATTTCGCGGAAAGGAGACTCACAGATACGCCGACATTCATTGTCGGACTGTCATAACAATTGTGTCTGTTACAGAGGATGCCTGTTCTGGAGCCCACTCACATCGAGTATGTATATTCCACTCTAGTTTATCTCGAAGTAGGGACCATCGTATTTGTCCCGATTGCATATATTAGACCTTACTGCTGACAGTGAATGCCAGTCACCTAGGAGATAACCTACTATATTTTGAAATTTGATGTAGTCCCACTGTAGATTTGATACTTCTTACTTTTATTGGAAAAAAACGAGCAGTTTAGCGCAATGTTTCAAACGTATAACATAGCGGCTCCAGCCGAGAGGAACGGATTATAGGGAAAACGGCACCTCAGCAAAACGTCACCGGGCGAAAACGGCACCTCGTATTATGTTTTAGGTAAAGGAACAGATTTCAGATTGCCGAGGACTACTAAACTGTCCGTGTAAATACATCACATACATCCAATAACATGTAAATACATCATTATTAAAAACAGAGGTGCGGCTTCGCCCGACACATAGTAGCCGTTTTCGCCAGATGCGGTGCCATTTTCGCCAGAGAAATCGGTGACGTTTTGCTGAGGTGCACCCAGAGGAACCGACCGACGGCATCATCACGTGTGTAGCGATCAGAAGTGGGATACGACCAGAACTGGGATAAACACTATAGAGAATTATATCTGTCACATGCAGCTATGTGTTTAATTGACAAACATTTAATAAGAGTAAAATCATTTGCACTTCTTGTGTTTTATATGTTTACTCCGTTCTGCAAAGTGCACCAATGGCAGTGTTACTGACTCGATATCCGTGATTTGTAGCTAAATGTAGCAGCGCATAAAAGTGGTAATGCGGAACTAAAGCGGAATAAAATTTCTTCTTTTTATACAGATCGCGAATGAAAAAATGCAATTCCTATGAAAATGGCCGTGTTGCTTATTATCTATAATTACTATCCATTATCATGTTTAATTTCTAACCATGATATCACTCCCGTAATTCCCCAGTAGAATGGCACGTACGCGACAATGCACAGATCTAGTCAGGGTGGTTTTCACAAAGCAATATTCCCATCGTCAGTCTACCATGATTCACTAAGATACTGAGCTCTGTATCAAGACAGACACTGCAGTAGTTGAATGGGAACAAAATGCATTCAGTTCCTATGAGCTGTGTGTTTTGTTTGAGTCGGAGCCTAGAGATTATGACACATAGATTATGTTTTAATTGCCATGTCTAAAGTTCTTGCTTAACTTATCAAAGTATAAGACCATTCTTCCTATGCTCCATGACATACATATCATGTGTTGGAACAACAAGTGACAACGTTCCCGTGTCCATGAAATATCGGGGAAACAGATACCTACTGAGATTTAATATAAGAGGAGACTAAGACTGTAAGGACACGTAGCAAAAACAAAAACCTCATTCAACATATAAAAGCTCATTCATAAAAATCTAATATCACTGTGAGTCTAGACGCTGTTGCCGTGGATCGGTTGCTGTCGGCGCGGCATGTATCCGTGTAGTTGACGACAGTCGCTTTTGAAAGCATTTCAAAACTCTTTGTAATGTACCAAATAGCACTTTAAAGTCATATGATCTCAAAGGTACATTCACTGAAGGATCCGGTTACATTATCTGGTGTCAAAGCTTTAGATACAAACAAATTTGATTTTCTGTTGGGGGTGTCGCATGCCCATGCCTAATATAAAGACGTGGTTTCTCTTGTTAAATGAATTGCCATTTCCAAACCACACCCAGCCTTTTCGTCTCTGCCCACTTGTACCCTAATAATAACCCTAAGCGAAGCAGCTGATCGCTATTGCCGGGTATTATTTTTCACATGGAACCAGTCTGACCAGTCACCGTCAAGGCTCCCGTGCACGAGATCGCGTGATCACGAGAATTACGTGTTGACATAGAATCGTCCAACAAAAACAATTATGACTTTTAACGAGTCACAGTATGGCATTTATGATATATGTATCCATTCTCTGGCAACTAATGTTCGTTTCAATAGCGGTAATCTGACCGTGGTTGCTGTTGATAACGGTGAGTTGTGCGATCTTCCGATCGCTTCACACACGATTTTGCCGAAATTAATTAATATATATTAAAAGGAATTTTGAATAAAATTAATAAAATAAGTTACAAACATAAGTCAAGATATACAAACAACACTTTTTAAAGCCAGACAGTGTAATTACATGACTAATTTGCGTACTTCAGTATGGATTTGTTGACATGGTATTTCCGGTGTTACGTGCTCACGGTAATGTCTTTCCATGGGGGGAAAAACATCAAAACTCATTAATTCGTGTATAATGCGCACCCCCTTCTTCACAGCTGTGTTTTTTGGAGAAAAAAAGTGCGCACTATACCCAAGAAAATACGGTAAATGCAAAATGTATACAAATCTTAATGGTAGTCCTACTGACTTTATAGTCGCATTATAACATGAAACAATTATCCAGTCATAATATACTTGAACCAGAATTATCATGATCATACATGCAGGTCGTGAGAACCGTTTCTTGGACCTCCGCAGTTTGTCTTAGCATTGTAATTATCTTAATAGCGAGATTTCCCGCCCGAACCTGAACTAACATGATCATATGTGCCGTCCATGAGAACCGTTTCTTGTGCCCGGCTTGTATTGGCTTGGTTATGATCTGAAAAGTGCGACTTCCACCAGGATGTCGAAGATCGAAGTTAATTATTCATGGTTATACAAAGGTCAACGCCGGAGAATAACCAGTCTCGCTTATCCGCCGAAACAGATTCCATTGTCGTAAAGGGTTAGAATAGGTCTTCAGCAAGCCATGTTTGTCGTAAAAGGCGCCTATGCTTGTCGTAAGATGCGACCAACGGGATCATGTGGTAAGGCTCGCTGATTTGGTTCATGCATGTCATCATATCCCAATTGCTTGGATCGATGCGCTTGATATCAATCACTGGATTGTCTGGTCCAGACTTGATTATTTACAGACCGTCATATGGCTGGGATATTGCTGGGTGTGGCGTTAAACAAACAAACAAAATATTTGGCGTAAGAAGCAATAAAGCGGTGAATTATATGTGAAAAATATATGAATGGCACTAAGAGTTAGCGAAAAAGGATGAGCATGTACTGTCCCGGTAGCACTCAACACTCACTCAGTTTGCATGAAATAGTGAGCGTTTGTTTGTTGACTACAACCCTGAATTGTGAATGATTACCAATTTTTGAGAAAGTGTTTTGGTTCAACGCTTTGAGGCAAAGGTGTAATACATCCCTGTTTTTAAATTTTAACGTCTTTCCAAGAGAATATTTAAAATTCGACAGTATAATCCGATGGTCCGGGACATTTTCATTCCCTTTATGTTTGAGGGCGTTTGGTACTTCATTATGGGTTAATGGTCCCTCAATGCTGTCATGTTAATCTGTATTAGGCTTTGGTGTACCAAATGTTCGAAATCCTCGTGACATTGGTAATATCTTAATGCATTTGTACTTGGTTGATGAATTATTTTGTTTTTGATACAGTTGTCCCGTTTTTGGTTTCAAGTTTCAACAGTGCTTTGTTTAAACACGTCTTTCTCTCAATGGCAAAAATATGTTTAGTTGGTTTCTCCAATTTTCAGTCGAGTGCCGTTTGATCTAATGATGAAACCTTCGATATTTGTATTAGTGACTTCATCTTATTTAGTTTTTGTTATATCTATGTTTGGTATTATTTGCGTCTAAATTAGCAATTAGCATGTAGTTCAGGTTCATTTAGCAAATTTGTGCCATAATTTGTTGATTTCTTTCCTTTTTATTTTGTAATATTACGATTTCATACTTTTACTTTTAACATCGGTTAATGTGTTTCCCAAGACAGTTTTCCATTTAAGTTAAATACGTTTATGCTATCACTGCCCATGTATTTGGTATATTGCAATTCATCTTCCTTACTTTTTCAGCAGTTTGGTGTATTCAGTATCAGCCAAGTGTAGTGTTATTCGATATCGTGAATGATCTAATCTATAGCTTGGGTTGGACTTTCGACAAGACAATTTCCTGACGTCCTCGAATAGAAAATAGAAAACATGAAATATGCTGATTCATGGTTTGGACCGTACTATATGTGTTAGGTGGTGTGTTAGCGTAGGGATTTTGTAAGAAATTTAAGTCTGGCGTGATAATTTTCCTTACTAACGTACCTTTTTCTCTGACAAGATCAAAGTGAAATTATACTTTGAATATAAACTTATTCTGCACTCATTTTAGTGTCATTAATATCTTTGTGTCTCCATATCACCTGTAAAGTGTGCATCCTGTAAACAATAGATGTGTGGTTTTCTGGTCTTAAGATGTCTTAACACAATCTACGTTTAAAGCTCTTGTTCTATTCCTGGCTATTTTAAATGTTTCCATGGTTAACGACATTCTTTTCCCTTCCAAGAAATCACTTTGTTTTAAATACTGATACTCATCATCAAAGTCATGTTGCTTGCATAAATTACACATCCTTTCACCATCTTTTATTTTGTTACATCTGTGTGTTTCAACTTGTAAATAAAAGCGAAAAAACAATTTCCATATTTCTAAGAAATGTCCTTGGTAAATAATTTTCAGCCCCAACCCCTTTCCCCTAAAAAGATAAGTATCAAAACATACATGAAGTTTCCCTTCTGGAAGGTTGGTGATTCGAAATGCTAAACGTACACCCTAACAGATAATAATACTCACAACCTCACAGAGATTCCATTCATTCTGCACGTCGATGCCTTCAGAGCGAGATTATACGTCAAAACTGAAACAACGCCAATTCCTGGGATATATGCGAAGATAAATTTGCAAACATACCGTTGACAACTATCTGTTTTATACAACATACGTTTGCTACGAAATAGTTTTGTTACTTCATTACTCTTCAATATTTTGATCAAGTGTATATGTGAAGCTATACAATGTTTTCAACAAACGTTTTTCTGATATTTAAATATAAGCAAAGCTTTGGGTCCCTTTTATACTGCGATAAAGTCGAATAAAGGAGAAACATATTTTGAAATATTCACAGGGCTTGGTCACTGCTATTTATTTTCTCCCGACGTTCCACTCACGTTAACTTCGTTTCTGTGCTTACTCCATGGCCTATGTGACAAATATTTAAAACATATGCATCATTTGGCTTAGAGCTGGTAAATTAAACATGTTAACTCTAAATATAACTAAATGTATATGGTTAGATCGAATACCGTAAGTTTACTTAATGGAATCTGTTTAAGAATGTTGCAGTTACAAAACATCAACATTTAATGAAAAAGTTAGTTCTCATTATTTAAAGTAATGCACTGATTTAACTATTTCAATATGAGTTGAGTCACTATTGAAAATTATTTTCAGATTATAACCATGGGTGTACAAATGCATATTATTTCTGATATTTGCTTAGTATTTGCATTTAAATAGAAAATGTATAACACCTTCAAAATGATAACAACATAAGCAGTCTTATCTCCCCCATACATGTCAGTTAGATTTATCAGCGTTTCACTCGCTACAACAGAGCCTGTGGCAACAATGAATTAGGTAACAAGACTAGTACCGAGGTTCAAGTGTCTTGTTTAAGCCAGGGGAAATGATTGTAAATTTTCTTCGTGACCAATCGTCAATACACTTCCCGTGCATAGCGTTCCACAAGCTTATCGTATTGGGTAGAAACGTTTTAACATATCTCTGGGTCTTACAGTTGATTGTCTGGACATCAGATCTGTTTCTCAGGTTTAAATTACTGTTTTGCTGAGACAAGACATGGAAAAACTTTATTTAGATATTCCGGCGAAATACTTGTAATAAAATTTGTTTCATTATACTTTTTGTCATGACTCTTACAGCGACCTGCACCGCAAATAGTTCTCAGTCCGTTCAAATATATATTTTAAAATATATAGTGACTGTTCGTGTGTGACAGTGTATCATATATGAAAACACCAGTAACTAAAAAGACACTATAAAATCAATCTCTCACATTTTTCCATATAACCTAAACTTAAATTCCTGAAGCAGTTGATTATTACATTAATCTTTTAGCAATTTCATAACTATGCCTTGTCCATGAACAACAGCTTTGAAGTGTAATACGGCTTATTTATGTCATTCTGCTTCTTAAATGGAATGATCTGCACTGACCGCTACCACCTACAGAACACTGCAGTATCCTGTGTATGTTGCGTGGTTGTCAACCCATACTTTATCGCCGCATTGCATTTGTAACTTAAGCATGGCTTTGAAGGAGTTTAATGTGAAGGTTGTGAGAAGTGAGACGGCAAAATGAAAGCGACAAAACCCTTTCCATATTAAAAAGAAAATTAAATAAAGCGACAAATCTCTTTCCATATCCAATAGAAGTCACAGCCTAATACAGAGGCGACTGTAAGATTCCGACTATATCATGAACATGTGTTTATTAATCTTTCACCGGAACGAAAAACACGGGAACGTATCTCACATCATGCACATGCATCGGACATCATTTTTGTCACTGATGCGTCAAATTTGGAAATGTCCTCCACATCTCTGCCATACACCTTTTTGAAAGCTTTACTGAGACCTTGAATGTTGCATTGATCAAACAGCTTCTGAGCAAGAGTCGTATGACGCCCTGTGAAATATAACTACTGAACTAAGCCACCTCAAACAAGTAACATAGTTTGTGAAAAGAAATATCGTACATATACAGTGACATTTGTGCATGAATGTGAATTGCCGCACTTATAGCGTGTGAATATTTGACAAGTACAAAATAACAAGACACTCATGATGTTTCCAATTTATAGTGAAGAATTTAATGTGGGTTATTTATTGAGAACGGAACATGAAAATATACAAAAGATCATATTCAGTATGGTCCCCCAAAATAACTTAAACTAAACTAATTCCGCATATATATCGCCATACGTTTTAGAACTAACCGAAAGCATTACCGCAGTAAATGGGGTTTTACGAAATTGTGGACTGTTTATCCCAGTTCTAGTCGTATCCCACTTCTGGTCGCTACACGTGACGCTCGTGTTTGTTTACTCCGAGCGGATTTCCCAGGCTCTGTTCTGTGTTAATGTTAAATGTGTTGTAACAGTTAAACAAACTACCGGTTTACAGTTAATTTATGGTTCATTATGCTATAACTTTTAGCCGAATTGTTGGGAATATGACACAAGCTGATTAATATCATGATGATGAATATGTTTGAGATGGGTAGTTGTGATTGTGAAAAATGGTTTTCTTTAAACCATTTAGCATTCTTATCATGAGTGCATATCAATTGATATATAACAAATAATCAATACTACTTGCACTTGTTTGATTGTACACAATGATTATACGTACATGTCTACTTAAACAAGGGCGATTTGCTAAAGGTGTCTATGTAAAGTCGAGACAATCTTAGCAAATACATTTTTAGAGAGCATAAAAGGAGTTTAATACCACTTTAATACCAACCAAACTATAATCGTACAACCCTTTGCGCTACATCCTTACTAGACATACCATAAAATATACCCTCCCCCATCACCTCGAAAGGAAACGACCCGTGAAGATTCCAGGGTAGAATAGGTCTTCAGCAACCCATGCTTGCCGTAAAAGGTAACTATGTTTGTCGTAAAAGGCGACTAACGGGATCGGGTGGCCAGGCTAGATGACTTGGTTGATGCATGTCATCGATCCCAATTGCGTGGATCCATGCTCATGATATCAATCACTGGATTGTCTGGTCCAGACTCGATTATTTTACAGACCGCCGTCATATAGCTGGAATATTGCTGAGTGCGGCGTTTAACAACAAACCAAACCAAACCAAATCGAAAGGAAACAATAAATCAATGTAACATATTTTCTGTAGGTGTTTACTGTTCAGTGGATGCATGCTGTACCATGGATAGACAAGAGACCCCAAAGGGATCCAGACTCAATGATGAATATCACCATGATGGCAACGGAGAGAGGGACAAAGTGCCACAGCGGTATCCCAAGCCATTTTATCATGGAGAAGGAGGACGATCCCTTCGCCCATGTCTCGAAACAAAGTCAGACACAGGAAGGTATCCTGAAATTGTGGAATATGAGGAGGAGATGAAAAAGAGATGCGGAATTGATGATAACCCTTCACTCGAACATAAAACTAATGAAGTTCCTTCCAGAGTAACATCCGAATGTCAAGATGGTCATTCAACACAACTTACCATTGGATCCAAAAGATCTGATGCGACCAGGAATGGTGATAGAAAGAAAAGATCAGATTTATCACACAGTATTGCACTGGAGGTGGTCGAATACAAACTCCCTACAGACCACAAAAGACGGTTTCCCAATGAAACAAACAACGAGAAACATGAAATCAGTCAGGTGTGGAACAGTGATCATGGAACAAAGGCGTGTAAACTGGATACGAATTTAGCAGCTGACCCGGTTTCACCTGTGCAGAGAGCAAAGACTGACGGTGAAGCTGCTGCTGAATATTCTGGATATTTCAGAAATGGAAACGTGTCTTTACAAGATCTTCAACATTTAAGGTGTCAGTCCTCAGACAATATTGCGAGGTGCACTGCAGATGCCGGAAGTTGGTTTCAGACAGCCTTAGATACAGAGAACTGGACATTAGACAACACCTTATTGATGACTGCTATTCTAGCTAAAGGGTGCAAGAGTCGTACATCTGCTGAAAATGTCTCAAAGATGCTGGCTGCTTTGAAGGAATCAAACTTTTTGAAAAAGATTGTGCCAGAGATGCTGACTGAAATGTCCGACATAGAATGTACTATGGAGGAGAAGACAAATTTATTAAAAGATTTATACATTGTTTTACAATATATCAGTAGTCATTTTCCAAGTAGTGTCATGCTTATACTGGGTCTTGACACACGTGTAAAAAACATTGTTCAAACAATGAAGCTAGAAACCAAAAGTGGGAATGAAGACCTTTTGCAAGAAATGAAAGCATTTTCATGCATAAAGGAACACATACTGAGCAAGCTAAACAAAGAAAAAGAGAGAGCTCAAAAACAGCGAAAGAAAATCAAACCACCTGATGATTTCCGGACTTTGTCTATATATCCAAAAAGGGAAGATCTTAACATGAGACATATACCATTCCTCAGAAGAAATAAGAAGAGTGGAACATACGGTGATATTGATGAATATTTGGACACCCAATTCAGGCTCTTGAGAGAGGATTTTATTCAGCCACTTAGAGAAGGTATACAAGAATATTGGGATTCCCCAAAAGATCCAAACATTAGAAAAAGCATTAATGTTTATAAAGACGTTATCATTCAAGATGTGGTGTGGTCATTAAATGAGAAAATACTTCACAAACTTTCCTTTAAGACTGAAGAACTGAAGGGAATTAAGTGGGAAAATACTAAACGTCTAACAAATGATGCACTTGTATGTCTATCTTCAGACAACTTCCTGACATTTTACAATGCAACAGTGAAACAAAGAAATGAAAATGAACTTCAACAAGGCAATGTCACTGTGTATTTTGAGATAGATTACAGTGCATCTTTTAGCCTATTCAAAGGAGGACCATATGTAATGATAGAAACACCTGCTTATTTTGAAGCATACAGGCCTGTTTTAGAGGCTCTCAAATGTGTCTCTGATGACATGCCATTCACGAAATACATTCTTGAATGTGAACCATGTACAAGGCCACCTCTCTATATGAAATATTGCAGTGCGCCAATAGACTTTTCTATGGTTGTCCAACGACATGCAGAATTAGATTTGCAAACATCAACTAGTAAAACTAAAGCTACACTGAAGTCAGACTTGAACTCTGACAAAAATGGAAAAGCTGAAGTTGTTCCAGAGGAGAATGGTACAGGTACAGACCATGATACATGGCCAATTGCAGAAGACCTGGGACTAAATGATTCACAATACAAAGCATTTAAAGCTGCCCTTACAGAAGAATTTTCCATTATCCAAGGTCCTCCCGGGACTGGAAAAACATACGTAGGTCTGAAACTTGTGGAAACCTTGCTGTCAAACTTACACTTGTGGCACACGGACACAGATGATAAAGATGTGTCCGAACATGACAAAACCAGTCCAATGCTCCTAATGTGTTACACCAATCATGCCTTAGATCAGTTCATGGAGGGAATATCCAGATTTATCAAACCTGATGACTGCAATAGCATTGTCCGTATTGGAGGCCAGAGCAAAAATGACAAAATAGACAAGTTTAACATCAGGAATAGAAGATTTGACTTGAGACGCAACAGACCTTTGTCTGACATAACAAGTCAACTGCAAATGTGCAAGAGCGACATTCGGAGATGTGGATGGCAAATAAATGTTTTAAGAGAGGGGGTCATTCATGAAGATGTTTTGAGGCCCTTCATAAAAGAACATTTTTATCATCTCACAAAACAGTTTGATGCAAGACATTGCAATTCTGCTATACTTAATTGGTTGGGGTTTGGTATGCTTACAAAGCGCAACAAATGGTTACGAATGAAAGACGCAGGGGTTCAATCTGCACAAGAATACTATACCCAGAACTACCAATTACTTGAAACTGAAAACCAAATTTTTGCTCTAACAATGAAAGATGTCAGCAAAGCCAATGCTGAATCTAATTCAGAGAGTGACAATGGTGCAGACAAAGAAAATATAGAAGCTTTGAAGAAACTTTCAAAAAAACAAAAGGAAGTCATTCTTAAAAATATGCAGGGATTATTACGTCTTAGAAGATGTATGACACCCAAGGAAGTACAAAATGTCACATATATCTGGAAGCTGCAAAGGACTGACCGATGGCGTCTCTATTGGTACTGGGTACAATTATTGCAAGATTTTCTTGAAAGAAAGAGATTGGATGAGCTGAAAGACAAGCTTTGCAAGTTCAAAGAAACAGTGACAGAGTATGAAAATGTCAAAAGAAAGATTGATGAGAATATTTTGAAAAAGGCAATGGTAGTTGGAATGACTACAACAGGGGCGGCAAAGAATTATGAACTGTTAAAGTTGGTTAAGCCACGTATTATTATCATTGAAGAGGCGGCAGAAGTTCTAGAAAGTCATACAGTTACATCAATACATCCTGGATGTGAACATCTTATTCTCATTGGGGATCACCAGCAGCTTCGTCCCAATCCGAATGTGCATACTTTGGCGAAAAGATTCAACCTTGACCTTTCATTATTTGAACGAATGGTCAACAATGGACTCAGGATCAACTGTTTGACACTTCAGCATCGAATGAGGCCCTGTATTTCGAGACTGATGAGGCACATTTACCTTCGTCTGGATGACCATCCTAAAGTATCTAAGTATGAAAACATGAAAGGTATTGCAAAAAACTTGTTTTTCATCAATCACTCTGAACATGAGGGTGAAAAAGAAGATTCAATGAGCCATTTCAATGGCTTTGAGGTGAACTATATAGTTAGACTTTGCAAGTATCTTCTTCTGCAAGGCTATCAGAAGTCACAGATAACAATTCTAAGTGCTTATTTGGGTCAAGTAGCTCGCATAAGAAAAGAATTGCCAAACCCAGAGTTTTATGATGTTACTATCACGCCTGTGGACAATTATCAAGGTGAAGAGAATGACATCATCCTCCTGTCCCTAGTAAGGAGCAATGTTGAAGAAAAGGTTGGATTTCTGAGGATCGAGAACCGAGTTTGTGTGGCTTTGTCGCGAGCAAAGATGGGAATGTATGTCATAGGCAATTTTGATTTGCTGTCCAGAAAGAGTGACCTCTGGAGACGAATTATCTCTGATGTGAATCAAATGGGTGAACTTGGACCAGGGCTACCTCTGTATTGTCAAAACCATTCAAACAATGATGGAATTGTTGCAATTATACCAGAGGACTTCAATGCTGCTCCTGATGGAGGCTGCATGAAAAAGTGTGACTTCCGACTTAATTGTGGACATGTTTGCCGATACTCATGTCATCCATTAGACAGAGAGCATAGTGAATATCATTGCCAGAAAGCTTGTCTTAAAACATGTACAGTTGGGCATACTTGTCCAAAGCCATGTTTTGAGGAGTGTGGGAAATGTATTGTTGTTGTTCCAAAGGTGTTGCCAGTGTGTGAACATACTCAAGAGGGATACTGTCATGTACCCCCTGAAGACGAAAACTGTCAAACACAATGTGAAAGAACTTGTGAGAGAGGTCATCACTGCCAAAAGAAATGCTTTGAAAGGTGTGGACCATGCAGGGTTACAGTATCTAAAACTTTGCCAGAGTGTGGTCATGTGCAAGATAGTGAGTGTCATCTTGATCCCAGATTTGGCAAATGTGAGCACGACTGTGAAAAAGTATGTCCAGAAGGACATCCATGCAATAAGAAATGTCATGAACGTTGTGGAAAATGTTCAGTTGAGGTTCCTAAAATACTTCCCAGATGTGGACATGAAGAACTTATTAAGTGCTCTGACGATCCTAGGTACGCACAGTGCATGACAAATTGTGAGAATATCTTACAGTGTGGGCACATGTGTGAGAATCTGTGTGGCCAAAGATGTAGATGTAAAACATACATCCTCAAACTCTTGACATGTGGCCATCAAAAGTCGATTCTATGTGAAGATAAAAATGTCCCCAATATCCAGTGCAAAGTTAAATGTAATACGATCCTCACATGTGGCCATCCCTGTGGTGGGTCATGCGTTGAATGTTGGGGAGGTCGTTTACATCGCCAGTGCAAAGAGGAACACAAATGTATGCTTGTTTGCGGACACATGAGCGACATTAAAGGGACATACACGCAACCTTGTAGTCACAGGTGTCCAACACTTTGTGATCACGGTCAATGTAGAAACAAATGTGGAGAAAAATGTACTGAATGCAACAAGCAATGTACTTGGCTTTGTCCACATTTTCGATGTGACAAACGGTGCAATGATAATAGCCGCCGTTGCTCCAGACCTTGTAAAAGACGACTAGAATGCAGGCATCTGTGTCCTGGATTATGTGGCGAGAAGTGCCCAAGCAAGTGCAAAATATGTAACCAGGGCGACTTTACATTTATACGTAGACCTTTCAGTCATAAGTCAAGATATGTACAACTTTCTGACTGTAGCCACATGTTGGATGTGACCTTTCTGGATAAGTGGATGCAACCTTTTTTCAACAAATATGGCGTAGTTGAAATCGGTTATAGAAGTTGTCCTTTCTGTTCAACTCCTATAAGGAACAACCCTAGGTATGGTAAAATTCTGAAATGCATACAGGCTGATATTGTTGAACTATCCAATGCTCAACAAAAGCAAGAACAGATCTTTCGCCAAGCTATTGAAGCTGTGCCCAAAACAGGATCACGTCACACAGGTTTCCCATCTGTTTTTGAAAGAAAAAGACTCAGATTCAGGAGACCCGAATCGGACAGCTGGATCTCTGCACAAATCAGATTGCCACTGTTAGATGATGTATGGAATATTGAGGAAAGCCTAGAACAATGGGATGAATCTTCTTCAAATATGCATGTGGTCAATCAATGTTCAGAAGACATAAAATACTTACGGAAATGGATTTCTGAAGAGAGGGACTACTTTAGTGAACAAGAGACATCTGATGCAAAAAAGGAATTGAAACGTCAGACGTTACTGTTGACCCTTCTAAGAGTTCTGGATGATGACAACACCATCAATAGCCAGGAAGAGAACTTCGATGTTCCTGTCACTGATACAGGGGCTGCAGCTGATTCTCAACTAACTGGTGCCCAGCGCGTGACTTTAGAGAGTGGCATAAGACTCTTGCAGCAAACGGGACCACTGATTCCACGTGTATCATCTGGGATAGAAGATCTTTTAGAAACATTGTGTGTACCTGAATCTGATGACCAACCACTAAGGTTACACGTCCAAAATATTGTTCTTCCCAAGCCCCTCGTGTTTGGATGCTGGTTCAAATGCAGAAATCGTAAGTCGTACAATATGTGGTCTTCTTCACTCGGTTGTTCAAAACCACATCAAGTAATAATGACCTGATGATTTGTATACTGATACCAGTGATTACAAAATAGTTTTCTTGTGCATATATTGCTTTGGCAACAGTGACACAAATATATCTTCTTAAACAGGTCACATATTTTTTGAGGGCAGCACATACGAGAAACCTAACCTGGATGAAGTAAAGTGTCCCGAATGTATGAAAGGTAACTTCAATATTTTGTTCTTTTATATGAGGATGTATGCTTGACCCAATGCTCAAAGACAGCACACTTGTTTATGCACATCTGTGTGTCTCAGTTGCCTTAATGCGCTTGTTGGGATCACAGTACTATTCCACATATGTCATTAAAGCTGTTAACATCTATGTTCTGTAAATCACTGAGGTCACTGAGCTTGGGAGTAACAGCAGCACTGATCTGACAAGAACTTAATCAACAACTTCAAGTGTTTATGCTGACCAGTTGGTCGGGGAATTGGTTTGGCAACATAGTTTTATATGTGAATGAATGAACCTTTTCATCATTGCAGAAGAACCCCAGGCTGCACAAACATAAGGTGAATACGTCACGGGGACCAATGACAAGGCCAAAACCTGAATTGGCGATGCACGTGGAGTTTCCTGTAGTCTAAAGAGGTATTTGGGGATGCTGACTTGTCGTGGCCATATATCAATCAGCAACAACAGCAGTTCATGATTATTCAATTATTCAAAAATTAAAGGTTAAAAATGACAGATGCATTTTACAGAATATGACATTCTCACCTGTCAGCTTGAGGTATGTTGCATATCAATACAAACATAGGAACCTTATGTATAACATTAGTTCAGTTAAAGAGCTACATGCTATTTTAATGTAAACCTGAAATGCATTAATACTTTTTTTTACTGATTGTGTTAAATGTGAGTTTTCGGAATGCTCTAGCAATACCGGGACTCCAGGAATGTTTTTCTTGTACCTACGTGGAAAATTGACCTGAGTGTTACGAGACACTCGATCACATACCTCTCTTGTAAACAGGAAAGTCGTGCACGTTACCTTTGATAAACATGTATGTACTAGATATAATGTGTACGTTTGTTGCGATAAATACATCTGATTTCGTATTCACAGTGATGTAGAGTGATGTTTACAGTTTGAGACTACAAATCCAGGGTGCAATGACGATCGTTTGTAAAACTCACATGTTTCCTTAGAACTTGTTCAAGTTCTACTTTATACATTATACTTACATCATATCAATAAGAAACATTAATGTCTAGCGTAGTTAGCCGTATGATGGAAATACCCCTGGATCAGTGTCTTGGGTGACAGTCTACAGTAATCTACGAATTTACCTTAGTGGCTGGACATGCATAGATGGGTATTTAGTCTTACAGAAAGCCGGTTAACAAAGCAAATGAAGCCAAATATTATCGTTATCTTTTATTTGACTTTTGACAAACATGAAAGAAAGTACGGAATCCATGTCTGTATATTATTCCACTGCAAAGAAATCATGATGCAATGGGTTTTGTTAACTATTTGACAGAAAAAAATATGTTTGGTCACTTTCTCACTTAATTGCCTTATCGAATTGTCAATTGTTTGTATATGTGATGAAGTGAGGTTTGTGTGATATATGAAAACTTGATTGATTATGAAAAGACAGAGTTTATATACAGTGAATAATGAATATCAAGTATTATAAGTCTCCATTATTCCTCATTATGAAAGACACCCTTCACCCGTTCGCCACCTTACTTTCATTCCAATCTCCTATTATTAACCTAGTACAGAATGTCTTTCGCTCGTGAACTTGAAATCACCAACCAACCTAGTAAGATTAGTGATGTAAATACATAAAGTATGTTTTTGATGATAAATTGTGTTATATGCAGGCATTTACTAATCTTGCAAGGATAGTGCTGTATACATGAAAAAGTTGTTGTTTCTCAAATAGTGTGTTATATGCAGGTGTTGTATAATCCAGTTCTAGTAAGATTAGTGATGTAAATACATAAAGTCTGTGTCTTGCGATAAATTGTGCTGTATGCAGTTATTGTATAATCCAGTTCCAGCAAAACTAGTGTTGTAAATAGTTAAAGATGATGTGTTGTTTCTCAAATAGTGTGTTATATGCAGGTGTTGTATAATCCAGTTCTAGTAAGATTAGTGATGTAAATACATAAAGTCTGTGCCTTGCGATAAATTGTGCTGTATGCAGTTATTGTATAATCCAGTTCCAGCAAAACTAGTGTTGTAAATAGTTAAAGATGATGTGTTGTTTCTCAAATAGTGTGTTTTATGCAGGTGTTGTATAATCCAGTTCTAGTAAGATTAGTGATGTAATTACATAAAGTCTCTGCCTTCGGATAAATTGTGCTGTATGCAGTTATTGTATAATCCAGTTCCAGCAAAACTAGTGTTGTAAATAGTTAAAGATGATGTGTTGTTTCTCAAATAGTGTGTTTTATGCAGGTGTTGTATAATCCAGTTCTAGTAAGATTAGTGATGTAATTACATAAAGTCTCTGCCTTCGGATAAATTGTGCTGTATGCAGTTATTGTATAATCCAGTTCCAGCAAAACTAGTGTTGTAAATAGTTAAAGATGATGTGTTGTTTCTCAAATAGTGTGTTTTATGCAGGTGTTGTATAATCCAGTTCTAGTAAGATTAGTGATGTAATTACATAAAGTCTCTGCCTTCGGATAAATTGTGCTGTATGCAGTTATTGTATAATCCAGTTCCAGCAAAACTAGTGTTGTATATACTTAAAGATGATGTGTTTTATTTTTCAAATAGTGTGTTATAAGCAGGTGTTGTATAATCCAGTTCTAGTAAGATTAGTGATGTAAATACATAAAGTCTGTGCCTTGCGATAAATTGTGCTGTATGCAGTTATTGTATAATCCAGTTCCAGCAAAATTAGTGTTGTATATAGGTAAAGATGATGTGTTGTTTTTCAAATAGTGTGTTATATGCAGGTGTTGTATAATCCAGTTCTAGTAAGATTAGTGATGTAAATACATAAAGTCTGTGCCTTGCGATAAATTGTGCTGTATGCAGTTATTGTATAATCCAGTTCCGGCAAAACTAGTGTTGTATATACTTAAAGATGATGTGTTTTTTTAATTTTTCAAATAGTGTGTTATAATACAAAAAGTCTGTGCCTTGCGATAAATTGTGTTGTATGCAGTTATTGTATTCCAGTTCCAGCAAAACTAGTGTTGTATATACTTAAAGATTTTGTGTTTTTGTGTTGAATAATCCATTTCCAACAATGTTAGTGTTGTATCCCTGAAGAATTTTGTTTTGTTTTATCATATAGTGTGTTATATGCATATGTTGAAAATCCAATCCTCGTACGATTAGTGTTGTAGACACTTAAAGTATGTTTGCGATGATAAAGCGTGCTTTGTGCAGGTGTTGTATGATCCAATTCTCGTGAGATGTGTTATGTTAATACTTAAAGTATCTTTTAGATGATAAATTGTTTTATATGCAGGTGTAGCATAATCCAATTACAGCCGGAATAGGGATAAAATACACAAGTATGTATTAGTGACAGAAGTTGAATAGAATTATCCTTTTTTTGTAAAAATGTGTGTCTTTTTTTTGTATGCAAATACTGTATATTTCAGTTTTGACGTGATGATTGTTGTACATGTAGAGCTTTTTTGATTAAGCGTTTGATCAGTTGCAGGATAATACGCTTCTGACAAGATTAGCGTTGTAAATTCCGAATGTTAACAATGTACACGGCAACACTTTCAATTTTAAGTTTTTTTAATGCATTACATATCTGAACATGATGTCCGATGCAATTCCCTATTTTCACTTGTGCCATAAATTCCCGTGTTTTTTCATGTGACCAATTAACTTGCCTTTGCATGTGTTTGTGATGGGTGCCACCATTTGGTCAGAATACGCTCATCGTTTCGGGAACACCTGGTACCATCACTATTTGATAATGATTCGTAAACACATGCTCATGTGATGGTCGGAATCCTACCATCGACTCTTTTTTGGGCAGATGTTTCTTATGAATATGCAAAGCGTTTTGTCACTGTTATCTAGGTGGTGGTATTTTGTATTTAGAGTACAATGGGCTATATGAGCAGTCATTTCTTATGATTGTGCAGAGGGTTTTGTCGCTTTTATAATCTATAGCTAGTATTGCATACAACTAGTAGTGGCTGGGGTGGTGACTTAAATCCTGCTGGGGCATTATGAACGTGGCAGGTGAACATGAGGTCATCATAATCCCCAGGATAGAATGTACATATACCGTATTCGACGTAATAAGCCCCCAGGGTGCACTCAAAATTAGAAATAGGGGCCCTTATTAAAATAAAATTTTGGTTAAAAAAACAGAGTTGAAAGATCGTAAATTTCGTGGACTATACTGACAGCCTTAAGTGATACAAAAGAAAAGTCTGTGTATTATGTACATGACGGATATATTTTCCAGAATTTAACTGCCCATAATTAAGAGTGCATATAACACACGAATGCGTATTATACCCGAATAGATAAGTCTTGCGTACATTGATCAATCGGAAGAAATTTGGATTGTTCACTCGCCAATATATTAGTAAATATCGCCGTTTGAGAGGGCGCTTATTACGTCGAATACGGTATGTGAAATGACTAGTTGAAGACGTTTATATATGTTGAACTGATTATTTTTAATCTTTAATATGTGATATTTTGCTCATTCTTTTGCTGTCTTTATTTTAAAAACAAATATAGCTTTTATAATGCCGGTCTAACGTAAAACTCTTGACTCACTGGTGATGCTATCTAGTGGCAAGCCATGGTAGAATGCATAAGATGTTATGAACAACGGTCCACATAGTTGGGGTACGATGACACACAATTAACCACGTCACCGAGCCTGACCACCCTGCCCATTAAGACAAGACAAGCAACCCGGTGCCCCCACAGGGGTACTGCCTTCACGATATGGCTGAAATACTGCCGATGTGACGTTAAATCTTAACTCACTCACATTCACAGGGGTACTTCACAGAGCTGCAACTGTTATCCAGATGATCAGATAATTGAGTGGAAGTAAATATTATCAGTAACTCGTTCTAATAATGATGTCTTTGTTGTGATTTGCATTGTCCATGAATCTATTGTTAGTTGCAGTCCTCAATACATTATGTGATGCTATTTAAAATACCGTACTACATGTATCCAGCGTAATTAAACATTTGGAAGTCGTCGTTGGTTGTGTAATCTCTGTCTGGTTAAGTAAGTGTTCTGTGAAGGTGTCCTGCAAGACTGTGTACATATACGTGTACACACATGGATATCAAGACCCGTGAAGATTCCGGGGTAGAATAGGTCCTACGCAACCCATGCTTGCCGTAAAAGGTGACTATGCTTGTCGTAAAAGGCGGCTAACGGGATCGGGTGGTCAGGCTCGCTGACTTGGTTGATGCAGGCCATCGATCCCAGTTGCGTGGATCGATGCTCATGATATCAATCACTGGATTGTCTGGTCCAGTCTCGATTTTTTACAGACCGCCGTCATATAGCTGGAATATTGCTGAGTGCGGCGTTAAACAATAAACCAACCAACCAAAAACAAGTTTGAAAACAGATGGTAGTCACTTGGTGCCAAAATTGGTGAATACGGTCGATGGGTAGAAGCTCGTCTCCACATTAAGTGCAATGAACACGACGTTAAAGCTCATTTCACCTCATCTCACCTACATGTATGTACAAAGGTCAAAGGTAACGTGGTATGCACTACAACATTTCAAATATTTGGGGCGTCTGCCCAGGGAGCGGAAGGTCTGGGTTCGATCCACAGCCCGTCATACCAAAATACATTAAAATATGGTACTTGTTGTTACCCTGGCTGAAGGTTGGCATTAAGCGGCTAATACAAGAACCGTTTACTGTGTCTGAGGGGCGGTCGGGTAGCCTAGTTGTTAAAGCGTTCGCTCGTCACGCCGAAGACCCGGGTTCGATTCCCGACATGGGTACAATGTGTGAAGCCCATTTCTGGTGTCCCCCGCCATGATATTGCTGGAATATTGCTAAAAGCGGCGTAAAACCTTACTCACTCACTCACTACTGTGTCAGAGTTGTGTATCCATTCTGCTGCACGGTATGTCAGTGGGTTAGCACTATAAAATCGGCACCCGGACTAGTAAAAGCAGCCACACACACACACGTGTATGCACAACGCTAAAGAAGCGCAATGGTCTTGAAGGAGACGTAAAACCCCATTAATTTTACTTCCACCTCAAATTACCTCTGGGGGCATGGGTGGCCCAGTCGTCTAAGGCGCCGCGATTCGCTGTGCAGAGTTGCGTCCAATGGGCACGCCAGAAACCTATGATTGTGGGCTCGAATCCCGGTTCACCCCAATTATGTTTCTAGGTTTGTCAGCACCATTCCCGTGCTCGTGGGTTTCACCGAAGTGGTAAACGTCTGAGACCTGCATCACTTCGGGCTTTCCTCCCATATTAAGCTGACACGCCGTGATATAACTAAAATACTGTTAAAAGCGGCGTTAAACCCAACTCACTCACTCACTCACTCAAATTACCTCTGATAAAGTCATGCCATAAATCAGCTTCATTCGCAGTAACATTGGTTTCGGTATTGTTTCTGTAGATTTGAACAAAAACTTGTTATGTTTTGCCATATATCACTCAGAAGAGAGTCTTCATAAAACGTGACACTGAAACAGAAACCAGGCACACATATCCACTGAGTCGCGTACTGCTGACGTGCGTCGGGGCGGTATCGCCGATAACAGCCTACACTGCAAGGTCGTAACACGTATTTGGTCATTGATAGGATATGACAGCACTCTTCGTGGAAAATAACCTTGAACGGCTTCTCGGAACTCTTATTGCACTTTCTATTATTAGATCTGACGTAATTATTAAATAAGACTTGAACTGATTTAAGGTGGGTCGGTTCGTTTGTTTGTTGTTTAACGCCGCAGTATTCCAGCTATATGACGGTGCTTTGTAAACAAAAACATCGAGTCTGGACCAGATAATCCAGTGATTGACATCACGAGCATCGATCCACGCAATTGGGATCGATGATATGCATCAACCAAGTCAGCTAGCCTGACCACCCGATCCCGTTAGTCGCCTCTTACGACAAGCATAGACGCCTTTTACGTCAAGCATGGGTTGCTGAAGATCTATACTACCACGAATCTTCACGGGTATCACGGGTTTAGAGTGGGTTTCGAATGGGTCGGTGTGTCAGTGTTAAATCGAATAGGCTGTTTTCATCTCAGGCAAAGAACTTTTAGAAAATGCACGCCAGATTGTCGTGTTGATTGTCTATCCCGTATATGTGGCATATATAAATATACAACTGTTTAAAACTCACACTAGCTGACATACATGTAATTATTTCTGCAGTCTCGCTTGCTGGATTTTAGCAGGTACGTTACTTCTCGCTCAAGTTTGCTTTCAATATAAATTTGACTGGTCAAAGGGGAGCAACTCCACGTAAAATGACACGAACTAAAATATCATTCTATGAACTGAAAAGTAATTTTTGTCGTATGGCATGGTAATATTATCGATGTTTATAACCGTACAAAACATCTTTTGTGACACATGGAATTTAGAATAAATTCTTAAGAATAAAAACATTTGCATGAGATTATACATGTTACCCATAGGTAACTAACTTATATTGAACAATATGACTAATAAATGCTCTTTTATAGTTAAAAATGTTGAGTGCATCGACATTTCAATGAATTAATTTTTACCTTTCGATAGTTCTAAATGGGCATTCATATTCATTTCCTATTGGTGCATTTCAACATAAATCATTTACTGAAAGCGAAAATAAATTTGACTCTGACGTGTATTGCATATTTCATGCATATCCCATCTTTAATGAAAACATTATATTTTCTTGGTGAAATAGTCCCCAACCTCTGGAATATGTTTGAAATTAAAATTTACAATTTAAAACGTCAAAAACATATGCTTTTAAAATTATGTTTCGATTTTTTTTAAAGTCAAGCAAGTAATTCATTAATGCAACACAAAAACCGCACTGCAGATGCTTTGTCGATGGATTTTTAAAGACTTGGATGTGTCGAACTTACAATTGTCTGGAAGTAAAATCTTGGTCCCTGCATATTTCGCCTTTACTCATTATTATTAAACTCTGATAACGGGAGTTTACTCAGATATTTGTTTGTTTGTTGTTTAACGCCGCACTCAGCAATATTACACCTACATGACGGCGGTCTGTAAATAATCTAGTCTGGACCAGACAATCCAGTGATTGACTTCATGAACATCGATCCACGCAATTGGGATACGATGACATACATCAACAAAGTCAGCGAGGCTGACCACCCGATCCCGTTAGTCGCCTGTTACGACAAGCATAGTCGCCGTTTACGGCAAGCATGGGTTGCTGAAGACCTATTCTAACCTTACCCATCACGAGTGACTCCGATGTAATTACGATTTCGTTTAATGTCATGTTAAATGTTCTATGAGCTGCGGACGTGGAATAGGTGAGCTGTTTTGTTTTATTCACTGTATGTACATATCTTTTATACTTTTAACTATACGTAAATGTATACATAGTTTGTATGTTAATTGCTCAATTAACGTACATGTCATTAATTCGAATAATGATACATAAATTTAGTAATGTTGGACATTAATTTCATTTTCTCGTTGTTTTGTCGCATATATTGTGTTATTAACGTGCTAATCGGTAAATGTATGCCAAGTTTAATTTTCGGTTGTGTCGAACTTCGCATAGCTTGAAGTATTTACGTTTGTCCCTTCATCTTCGACAAAACGGTGTTTGACTGTAAATGAAACATAATGAATGTCCCATCTATGCGATACACATGTTAATTACACAAAAATGTCTTATTTACTGTGTCTATTACCATGTAAGAGATACAAAGGCTTACCAGTTAGTTGTTTGTCATAGATTGCGCACATGACTCACAAGCATTTTGCCCTTGTTACGTTTCTATGTTTAGATCTGACATTTTTATCAATACCACGCATCTGCAATCGGGTGAGAGATAATGCCTTGGGTCCCTTAGGATGTGGTGGTGTGCATGTACACCACATTATATGTGTCATCAAGATGACGTGTCATTCATTGATATTCGCTGTACTAGTTTCTATCTAACTTAATATTTGACAGGGGGGCACGGGTGGCCCAGTCGTCTAAGGCGCCGCGTTTCGCTGTGCAGAGTTGCGTCCCTGGACACGCAAGAAACCTATGATTGTGGGTTCGAATCCCGGTTCGCCCCGATTATGTTTCTAGGTTTGTCAGCACCATGCCCGTGCTCGTGGGTTTCACCGAAGTGGTAAACATCTGTGACCTGCATCACTTCGGGCTTTCCTCCCCCATTAAGCTGACACGCCGCGATATAACTGGTATACTGTTAAAAGCGGCGTTAAACCCAACTCACTCACTCACTAATATTTGCCAGGGAAAGAGACATCAGCAGGGGGTAGGGTGATAGAAAGAAAGTGATCGGGTGTGACTGAGTGAGTTAGGTTTAACGCCGCTTTTAACATTATCCAGTTATACCACGGCGTGTCACCTTAATGTGGGAGCACGGGTATTGTGCTGACAAACCTAGAAACGTGATTGGGGCGAACCGGGATTCGAACACACAATCATAGGATTCTGGCGTGCTCAAGGGACGCAACTCTACACGTGGGACAACATATGCTGTGGTGGGGGGTGGGGTTGTGATTAAAAAAGAGTGATAAAAAGAATAGGAAAAAGAAAGAGAACACGAGAGTAAGAAGTACAGAAAGAGGGGGGAACATATAAAGGAGAAAGGAAGCGGATATTTTAAATCTTCTGTACTGTACACATAACAATAAAACCAAATTTAAAATATAGTGTTTCAAATAAAACTACCAGTATTTTAAATTCCTTTTTGTCAAATTGCCTTGTTTGCCCAAGCATTGCAGTCATGCTCTGGAGATTCGGAAATGTTTGTTTCGGGGTCTGTCCGAGAGACATGTCCAAAGATCCAAACCACACACCTAACCGTACTGCTGTGTCGCCGCATTCAAAAAATATATCAAAGATGAATCACTTTTGTGACCAGCAGCAATCGTCAGGAAAGATGTTGTAGCCTTTCACCTTGGACTCGGGGACATAAATGTACGACATCACCTTACTACTACCTTACTGCGACCGCCCCCGTGGTCTAGAGGTAGAGCGTCCGCCCGGAGAGCGGAAGGTCCGGGGTTCGATCCCCGACCGCGTCATACCAAAAGATGGTACTTGTTGTTACCCTGTCTGGCGTTCGGCATTAACGGGCTAAAACAAGGACTGGTCGGCTCGGAGTCAGTATACTGTGTCTGAGTGGGGTATTCATGTTAAACTGCGGCATGGTATCTCAGTGAGCTAGCACTATAAATCGGCATCAGTCCGGACTAGTACAAGCAGCCACTCAAACACACACACGTACATGCACGTCGCTATATAAGTGCAATAATCTTGGACGCGACGTTAAACCCCGTTTCACCTCACCTCACTATCTTACTGCACCTTTTTAACGCTACATGAAGTTAACACCAAATATGGGACAAGTTTGTGTTAAGTGGTAGGCAAGCGAGTTCATATCTCTCGAGAGTTCAAGGTCAGACCCTTCCTCTGTTGGTGTTCTTGCGAGCCACCTGTCCGTTGACATATGGTCAACATTTCCAGATATAGAAGATGGTTTCCTTGGATACCACGTACTTATCATACGGCGTAGGTTTCTCAGGCTTTGTCTCCTAGGAAATTGTGATTCTAATTGTCGATTTGCCCGTTGGCTTGATATGCAATGTACGTCGAGATTTTGCTGCACGATCATGATCTTAATAATGCCAATTTTTGAATTATTTCAAGTATTAGTTGAGAATGCAAGAGAATAGCCAGTCTAGATTATCCACCGAAACAAATTCCATTTGGCGTAAAGGGTTACGTGGCTGTAAACATCATGTGAATAGACCCCTGAACATCAGTGATGACACCAGGTGTTCGCGAACATAAGAAATAGTGAAAAATGTAGAGGCTTTCCATCACCGCTAAATAGACCCAAGCCATGTGCCTCACATACATTACTTATCCCAACCAACGTCAAACTGCCATTCAAACCAAATGATCAAACCCATTCAGACAAAAGTCAAACACATACGTATCTCCTTATCTACAAACTGATTTCAAAGACCAGTACGGCAACACCTTTCTTGGCTCCGTGGGTATTCCAGGTCAAAATAGACCCTCGGGCACCTTTGCTTGCCGACTCAGTGGAGGAGGTGGTCAGGCTTGGTGACTTGGTTGATTCCGGGTCAACGTAAAAGTGCGGGACGTTGCTCATGATATCAGTCACTGTTTTGTCTGGCCCAAACTCGATTGTTTTTACAAGCTGCAACCATATATTTTGCTGAGTGCGACGGTAAATGACTCCAGACATTTCCCACACATTAAGCCAACAAGCAGTGATATAACTGAAATAATGTTCAAAACGTCGTTAAACAAAAACTCTACACATGAAAAAACCCAATCTCAAAAGCTAAATTGGCCCTCCATATAATTTTCTGTTTTTTTTTTCCATTTTCTTTGTCAAGTCCTACGGAAGCCTTTTAGGGCCATTTGTTTTTATTTTCTTTCGATACATTCTTGAAATTTCAAGAAACTAAGTTGAAATTTCAAGATACTAAGTTGAAATTTCAAGAAACTAAGTTGAAATTTCAGGATACTAAGTTGAAATTTCAAGATGGTATCTTGTATTCCAAGATAGTATCTTGAAATTTCAACTTAGTATTTTGAAATTTCAACTTGTGTATCTTGAAATTTCAACTACTCGAAATAGAATTATAGTATCTTGTAATTTCAACTTAGTATCTTGAAATTTCAACTTAGTATCTTGAAATTTCAACTTAGTTTCTTGAAATTTCAACTTCTGTATATTGAAATTTTAACTTAATATCTTGAAATATCAAGATAGTATCTTGAAATTTCAACTAAGTATTTTGAAATTAAAAGATACTATCGAAAAAAACACCAAAAAACCCAAATGGCCCTAAAAGGCTTCCGTATAAAAGGCTTCTGTAGATTACGGAGGCAAAATTGGTGAATACGGTCGATGGGTTGAAGCTCGTCTCCACATTCCAGTACGGCGGCCATTGCACCATGACTGAAGGGAATTGTCCTGATGGAGGTGAACACCAGGGCGAAGTTTGCCGCAACGCTTCTCACTGATAAACTTGGGCAATCTTTTCAATGATTTGGCATACTATTCACCATCCACGGTTCCTCCCCGTGGGAAATAATAGATGTGTATTGCTGTCCAAACGATTGTGGCCAAAACCGCCTTTGTGGATCTGGTTGCTTTAAACGTCTTGGTTAAGGGAGACCCGAAGTGTTTCTACTAAAGGGATTCATTTGTTCTCGCTATCATAGTGATAAATCCAGGTCTCATCACCTGTGACTAGCCTAAAGTGAAAATGTTCTGGGTCGCGATTATATCTGGTGAACAGGGCATTGGAGGTGGTGGCCCACGTAGCCATCAGTTCATCCGATAACATTCTAGGACCCCATCGGGCACAAACCATTGACATCTGAAGACGTTGTCGAAGGATTGTTTCCACTGACCCATACGAGAAACCTGAACAGTCTCCTCTAACTCATGGTGTTTAATGCACCTATTGTTCAGTCCCAGGTTGTGGGCGGCATCAGTGTTTTCTTTCGTGGTGCTGGTTGTGGATCGACCAGAGAAAGAATCATATTCCAAACTCTCTCTTCTATGCTGAATGTCCTCCAAGCAGCGTTTTATTGTGGCATATGAGGGGGGAAACACCCCATAAACAGCACTCAGCCGTTCATCTAAATTCTTTTGTTGATTGGCCTCAACGGTAAATATATGATATCTGATCTCTTCTCAGTTTTGTACATTTGAATGCTAAGGAGTAGAATATCCCAGAGTCGAAGTCAATTACCAGTAAGTCGCTTGATTGAAGATTGTGAAAGTTAACCCCACAAGCGGTTCAATACAATGGGCGGAAATATTAACCTATTTTTGTTGAGCGGTCAGCACTTTTGGACTTGATGGAGATCAGAAACACTCAAAATAAGACGAACGTCTTTAACTATCATTGATAAATCATTTATTGTAACTACCTCAATGTGGCCAAAATATAAGTAACAGGGTGAGCTTCTATAAATGCCTGATGATTTTCAGCTAATTTGTGGATCTAAACCGCAGTCTTGCAGACTCTTCCGCAACCTTCTTGACAACACCTCTGGTTGGTCGTACACTCGTCATCACTCAGACAGTTGATGCCAGGGCGGAACACGCAGAACCCCAACATGTTCTGGTCTACCTTCGGACACGACCCTGCAGAAGGAACAAGAGAACAAAGAAGTGAGGTGAGGTGAAATGGGGTTTAACGTCGCGTCCAAGATTATTGCACTTATATAGCGACGTGCATGTACGTGTGTGTTTTGTATGGCTGCTTGTACTAGTCCGGACTGATGCCGATATATAGTTCCAGCTCACTGAGATACCATGCCGCAGTTTAATATGAATACCCCACTCAGACACAGTATACTGACTCCGAGCCGACCAGTCCTTGTTTTAGCCCCTTAATGCCGAGCGCAAGGGTAACAACAAGTACCATCTTTTAACGTCGTTTGGTATGACGCGGCCGGGGATCGAACCCCGGACCTTGCGCTCTCTGGGCGGACGGTCTACCACTAGACCACGGAGCGGGCAGAGAACAGACAACCGTGATAGAATTGAACGTGGCTGTTGGTGTGACGAGCGAACAACGAATTGCTGGGCTGGCCAACCCAACCAAGAGGAAACTGTTAAACCATCTGAACATGTTAAGTGTTTCTTGTTCATAACAGACCACGTCTGTGGTCTCGTGGACATTGCGTCTTCCCGGAGAGCGGAAGGTCGGTGGTTAGGCTTTACTAATATAACTGATAGATTGATATACATCATACAATTTCAAAGCAGAAAACCATGACTTGCATGAATATATAAAACCACCATGACAACCAATTCACCCGAGCCTGTTCTTTCAAAACGTTCATTTACATGGGAAGAGAAGTTTGTCGCTTCTACGGGTTTTCAAGGATATTTTATTTTTTTATTTCATGTGAAACTTCTTTTAGGGACACCGCGCTAGGCAACACTTGAAATCTGGTACAGGTCTTTTTCCTTTGCAATATGCAAAAAAAAATGACGTGACTTCTTACCTGCATGGGTCACCTCCCTTTTGGCGTGAGCCACTGGCTCTTTGCACATCTTTCCACAGCCTTCACTGCAACACAGCTTGCCTGAACATAGACGAATACCAGCATTGTAATGAACCACAGCAATCGGAAATACATTTACCGACTAGCAATATTGTTTTATTTAGAAGGCAGATATAACAATTACCACTCTTTGTAAAATGATACATGTCAAGTATATGCATTTGGTCCCCAAAACAGGCTGTGTGTGAATGTGCCATCTGTGCATCCGTGACTGTGCCAGTGTCTGTATTTTTTCGTGCCAATATCAGTGTATGTGTCTTTATCTGAGTCTATGTATTTATGTGTCCATGTGCCATTATCAGTGTATGTGTGTTATATGTGTCTATGTCTGTATGTGTCCATGTGCCATTATCAGTGTATGTGTGTTATATGTGTCTATGTCTGTATGTGTCTATGTGTCATTATCAGTGTATGTGTGTTATATGTGTCTATGCACGTTTGTGTCCATGTGTCATTATCAGTGTATGTGTCTTAATCTGTGTCTATGTCTGTATGTGTCTATGTGTCATTATCAGTGTATGTCTCTTAATCTTTGTCTTTGTCTGTATGTATCCATGTGCCATTATCAGTGTGTGTGTGTTATATGTGTCTATGTACCGTTGTGCCCATGTGTCATTATCAGTGTATGTGTGTTATATGTGTCTATGTCTGAATGCGTCTATGTGTCATTATCAGTGTATGTGTCTATGTCTGTATGTGTCTATGTGTCATTATCAGTGTATGTGTGTTATATGTGTCTATGTCTGTATGTGTCTATGTGTCATTATCAGTTTATGTGTGTTATATGTGTCTATGTACGTTTGTGTCCATGTGTCATTATCAGTGTATGTGTCTTAATCTGTGTCTATGTCTGTATGTGTCTATGTGTCATTATCAGTGTATGTCTCTTAATCTTTGTCTTTGTCTGTATGTATCCATGTGCCATTATCAGTGTATGTGTGTTATATGTGTCTATGTACCGTTGTGCCCATGTGTCATTATCAGTGTATGTGTGTTATATGTGTCTATGTCTGCATGTCTCGTGTCATTATCAGTGTATGTGTCTTAATCTGTGTCTATGTCTGTATGTGTCTATGTGTCATTATCAGTCTATGTGTCTATGTCTGTATGTGTCTATGTGTCATTATCAGTGCATGTGTCTTAATCTGTGTCTGTGTCTGTATGTGTCTATGTGCCATTATCAGTGTATGTGTCTTTATCTGTGTCTATGTCTGCATGTCTCGTGTCATTATCAGTGTATGTGTCTTAATCTGTGTCTATGTCTGTATGTGTCTATGTGTCATTATCAGTGTATGTGTCTTAATCTGTGTCTTTGTCTGTATGTGTCTATGTGTCATTATCAGTGCATGTGTCTTAATCTGTGTCTGTGTCTGTATGTGTCTATGTGCCATTATCAGTGTATGTGTCTTTATCTGTGTCTATGTCTGTATGTGTCTATGTGTCATTATCAGTGTATGTGTCTTAATCTGTGTCTATGTCTGTATGTGTCTATGTGTCATTATCAGTGTATGTCTCTTAATCTTTGTCTTTGTCTGTATGTATCCATGTGCCATTATCAGTGTATGTGTGTTATATGTGTCTATGTACCGTTGTGCCCATGTGTCATTATCAGTGTATGTGTTATATGTGTCTATGTCTGCATGTCTCGTGTCATTATCAGTGTATGTGTCTTAATCTGTGTCTATGTCTGTATGTGTCTATGTGTCATTATCAGTGTATGTGTCTATGTCTGTATGTGTCTATGTGTCATTATCAGTGTATGTGTGTTATATGTGTCTATGTCCGTTTGTGCCCACGTGCCATTATCAGTATATGTGTCTTTATCTGTGTCTATGTCTGCATGTCTCGTGTCATTATCAGTGTATGTGTCTTAATCTGTGTCTATGTCTGTATGTGTCTATGTGTCATTATCAGTGTATGTGTCTTAATCTGTGTCTTTGTCTGTATGTGTCTATGTGTCATTATCAGTGCATGTGTCTTAATCTGTGTCTATGTCTGTATGTGTCTATGTGCCATTATCAGTGTATGTGTCTTTATCTGTGTCTATGTCTGTATGTGTCTATGTGTCATTATCAGTGTATGTGTCTTAATCTGTGTCTGTGTCTGTATGTGTCCATGTGTCATTATCAGTGTATGTGTCTTAATCTGTGTCTATGTCTGTATGTGCCCACGTGTCATTATCAGTGTTTGTGTCTTAATCTGTGTCTATGTCTGTATGTGTCTACGTGTCATTATCAGTGCATGTGTCTTAATCTGTGTCTATGTCTGTATGTGTCCATGTGTCATTATCAGTGTATGTGTCTTAATCTGTGTCTATGTCTGTATGTGTCCATGTGTCATTATCAGTGTATGTGTCTTAATCTGTGTCTATGTCTGTATGTGTCTATGTGTCATTATCAGTGTATGTGTCTTTATCTGTGTCTATTTATATATGTGTCCACGTGTCATTATCAGTATATGTGTCTTTATCTGTATCTATGTCTGCATGTCTCGTGTCATTATCAGTATATGTGTCTTTATCTGTGTCTATGTCTGTATGTCTCGTGTCATTATCAGTGTATGTGTCTTAATCTGTGTCTATGTCTGTATGTCTCGTGTCATTATCAGTATATGTGTCTTTATCTGTGTCTATGTCTGTATGTCTCGTATCATTATCAGTATATGTGTCTTTATCTGTGTCTATGTCTGTATGTGTCTATGTGTCATTATCAGTTTATGTGTCTTTATCTGTGTCTATGTCTGTATGTGTCTATGTGTCATTATCAGTTTATGTGTCTTTATCTGTGTCTATGTCTGTATGTCTCGTGTCATTATCAGTATATGTGTCTTAATCTGTGTCTATGTCTGTATGTGTCTATGTGTCATTATCAGTGCATGTGTCTTTATCTGTGTCTATGTCTGTATGTGTCTATGTGTCATTATCAGTATATGTGTCTTTATCTGTGTCTATGTCTGTATGTCTCGTGTCATTATCAGTATATGTGTCTTAATCTGTGTCTATGCCTGTATGTCTCGTGTCATTATCAGTGTATGTGTCTTTATCTGTGTCTATGCCTGTATGTCTCGTGTCATTATCAGTGTATGTGTCTTTCTCTGTATCAAGGTCTGCTATTGTGTCATTATCAATGTCAGTGCCTTTCTGTGTATCAATGACTGTTTCAATGTCTGTATATGTCTATGTGTCATTGTCAATGTCAGTGCCTTTCTCTGTATCAATGTCTGTGACAATCCATGTATATGTCTATGTGCCTTTCTCTGTATCAATGACTGTTTCAATGTCTATATATGTCTATATGTCATTATCAATGTCAGTGCCTTTCTCTGTATCAATGACTGTTTCAATGTCTGTATATATGTCTATGTTTCATTATCAATGTCAGTGCCTTTCTCTGAATCAATGGGGGCGGTCGGGTAGCCCCAGTGGCTAAAGCGTTCGCTCGTCACGCCGAAGACCCGGGTTCGATTCCCGACATGGGTACAATGTGTGAAGTCCATTTCTGGTGTCCCCCGCCGTGATATTGCTTGAATATTGCTAAAAGCGGCGTCAAACCATACTCACTCACTCTGAATCAATGTCTTTGACAATCTATGGATATGTCGATGTGCCTTTCTCTGTATCAATGTCTAGGACAATTAATGTATATGTCTATGTGCCTTTCTCTGTATCAATGACTGTTTCAATGTCTATATATGTCTATGTGTCATTATGAATGGCAGTGCCTTTCTCTGTATCAATAACTGTTTCAATGTATATATACTAGTATGTCTATATGTCATTATCAATGTCAGTGCCTTTCTCTGAATCAATGTCTGTGACAATCTATATATATGTCGATGTGCCTTTCTCTGTATCAAGGTCAGTGCCTTTCTCTGAATCAATGTCTGTGACAATCTATATATATGTCGATGTGCCTTTCTCTGTATCAAGGTCAGTGCCTTTCTCTGAATCAATGTCTGTGACAATCTATATATATGTCGATGTGCCTTTCTCTGTATCAAGGTCAGTGCCTTTCTCTGAATCAATGTCTGTGACAATCTATATATATGTCGATGTGCCTTTCTCTGTATCAAGGTCAGTGCCTTTCTCTGAATCAATGTCTGTGACAATCTATATATATGTCGATGTGCCTTTCTCTGTATCAATGTCTGTTTCAATGTCTGTATATGTCTATGTTTCATTATCAATGGCAGTGCCTTTCTCTGTATCAATGACTGTTTCAATGTCTATATACTAGTATGTCGATATGTCATTATCAATGTCAGTGCCTTTCTCTGTATCAATGACTGTTTCAATGTCTGTATATGTCTATGTTTCATTATCAATGTCAGTGCCTTTCTCTGAATCAATGTCTGTGACAATCTATGTATATGTCTATGTGCCTTTCTCTGTATCAATGACTGTTTCAATGTCTATATATGTCTATATGTCATTATCAATGTCAGTGCCTTTCTCTGTATAAATGACTGTTTCAATGTCTGTATATGTCTATGTTTCATTATCAATGTCAGTGCCTTTCTCTGAATCAATGTCTGTGACAATCTATATATATGTCGATGTGCCTTTCTCTGTATCAATGACTGTTTCAATGTCTGTTTATGTCTGTGTTTCATTATCAGTGTCAGTGCCTTTCTCTGTACCAATGTCTGTGTTATATCTGTTGCCCGTATATCTGTTGCGACAAGGCAATATCAAAATCGTCTGATGTGAGCAGCAGACGACATGATCACCTGTTCTCTCCAGTAAATAATAATATACATGTATGTACTAACTGCATGGCACAAGTGACGACAACCGTTCCAGATTAACATACCGTAAGCACACTCGCTGTCTTCAATACAGTTGACGCCGGGAACAAACAAACAAATACCAACCAAACCAGACGAGGCGGGACAGGAGCCGGTTACACGCTTCGCTGGAGGAGAAAGGCGGAACCATACATGGTGAGCTGCTCTTATAACAAAAACCGTTTGTTGAATGCAAATAATTTATCCGGGAAAAAAAAATCTGTTTGTAAGCCAACAAATACTCAAATAATATTTTATTTTGTTGGAAATATGTCGCCAAATCATTTAGTTATACAATTAAACATAATCAGTCTGGCTGAAAGGTGGAGTGTGTGTATGGTGTAGAATGAGAAAACAAATATTAACCAGATTATTTTATCACAAGATCTGGTAAAACAAGGTGAGTGAGTGAGTGAGTGAGTGAGTGAGTGAGTGAGTGAGTGAGCATTGCAGTAGTATCCCGACATGAATTCACATTGCACTCATGATGGTTATCGAACTTTGGCCTTCGGTTTCAAGAGCAAATGCTTTAACCACAAAGCTACCCACCGCCTAGCATCAAGATTATCAACATTGAAGTAATTGAACCTTCTCTGAACATCCGTTGAGCTGTTTAAGAGCTTGATCAGGCTATGTATGTTAAGAATTACTGGCTCACTGAATGTTGATTGTTATAAAGTTTGGATATTCTGTGAGTTGAAAGCCATGACACTGTGTTACCTGGTTGAATTATCTCTCGTTTAGCATTGGGGATGGGGACCTTGCAGACACTGCCGCACCCCTCGCTGCAGCATACTTTACCTGTATAGAAAGATAGAAGTTACAAGGGTGATGTGGTTCATGGCTTCTTAACTAAACCTTGCATTTATAAGTGATTTTTCATTTAAAGAATATGAGTGAGTGAGAATTGATTTGCGCCGCTTTTAGCAAAATTCCAGCAATATCACGGCGGGGAACACCAGAAATGGGCTTAACACATTGTACCCATGTGGGGAATCGAACCTGGGCCTTCGACGTGACGGGCGAATGATTTAACCACTAGGCTTCCGCCATAACAAAATATGAAAAACATAAGAGATTTTATTTCGTTAAGCAACATATATACTGACACCTTAACGACCAATGAAATAATCATTATTAATGAAATATGTATGACCACTAGTTATCACTGATAGATTAATGATCACTGAATTGAGGATGCTCATTTAAATAATGATGAAAATAGAAACACTTGCGATCATTAAATAAAAATAGCTTTGGTTTCCTCGTAAAGCTGGTAGTTTAAATTAAAAAAATTAACCGCAGTTTTGTCTTGATGACGTTAAAATTATGACATTGGTGATAAAATAAACGTTAGTTTCGTTATAGAAGTATGATAGAGAGTGAGTTGGATTTTACAGTATTTCAATTAAATCACAGTGTGTCAGCTTAATGTGAAAGTGATGCGTCTTAGTGATTTACCACTTAAGTTATACCTACTATTACTGGTATGGTGCTGACAAACCTAGAAACATTAATCAGAGCGAATCAGGATTCGAACCCACGATCATAGGTTTTTGTCACGCCTAAAGGACGCAAGTTTCCACAGCGAACTGTGATGCTGTATGTAACTAGTGTAGAGAAGCTCATACCAACCATCAGAACACTCGCTGTCTGAAATGCAGTTGATGCCTTGGATGAAGACACAAGCACCTGCCAAACCAGAAGATGGCGGACAACTGGACGATTCCCTTGTTCCTATACCACAAACGGTCTTTATTATTACCAAAGCAATATTACAGTAAATTATGAAACCAATCTGACAGTATGTACAAAACTGAAACCTGATCCAAAATTTGCAGTTTAAAGTTTTTGATTTAACAAAATAAAATTAGAATTGTAGAACTGCAGTCAGAATAAAAGTAATAAAATATACTTACTTAGACTATCCAGAGCGGGTGAGGCTGAAATGAAATACAAATAATTTAAAAAGGTATGTACACAATCGAATTTGGATAAGACAAACCAATGACTGAAAGTATGAGCAACGTTCAACGTCATCGGAGCAATATGGCACATAATCAACATAGTCAAAATGCCTGATCGTCCGATCATCATTGCAGTAAGCTCTTACGTTTATTTGTTTGTTGTTTAAGCACGAACTCGGTAATATAATATTCAAGCTATATGACGGTGGTCTGTAAATAATCGAGTCTGGACCAGACAATCCAGTGAACGATACTGTAAGTAACAAAACACGCCTTCGGGGTACGATGACAGGACACGCTGTCACCGAGCCTGACCACCCAATCCATTTGGCCACCTTTTAGGACAAGCATATGTTGCTGAGGACCTATTCTTACCCGGAATCCCGGAGGCTGTTAAGAGAAGTTTGAGAAACTGGGGGCCCGAAATCCCCACATAGAGACTAAGAATACACCTCAACATAAATTTGGTGATGAAAAATGTATGGACACCATGTTCACCAGTCAACTCATGATCGTTGTTTTACTCCACAACACATGAAACTGACTACTGGTGGTATCTCTATGTAAATATATATAGGATGACATATCCCCCTTAACCGTTGAATAGCTTACATTGAAACTCCACTAATCGGGACGGTAGCGTTTCATTTGAAACGTCCGGAATAAAAGAAGTGTGGTTACTGAGTAATTCTATTTTGTGTTCATGTAAGCGTTCCCAGCAATGAGTAAGGTAATTTTGTCATCATGTAAGCGTTCCCCAAAGTAAGGTAATTTTGTCATCAAGTAAGCGTTCCCAAAAGAAAGGTCATTTTGTCATCCTGTAAGTGTTCCTAGAAGTGAGTAGCGTCATTTTGTCATCATGTAAGTGTTCCAAGCAGTGAGTAGCGTCATTTTGTCATCATGTTAGTGTTCCTAGCAGTGAGTAGCGTCATTTTGTCATCATGTAAGCGTTCCCAAAAGAAGAATCATTTTGTCATCGTGTAAGGGTTCCTAGTAGTGAGTAAGGTCATCATATAAGGGTTCCTAGCAGTGAGTAAGGTCATCATATAAGGATTCCTAGCAGTGAGTAGCGTCATTTTGTCATCATGTTAGTGTTCCTAGCAGTGAGTAGCGTCATTTTGTCATCATGTTAGCGTTCCTAGCAGTGAGTAGCGTCATTTTGTCATCATGTTAGTGTTCCTAGCAGTGAGTAGCGTCATTTTGTCATCATATAAGGATTCCTAGCAGTGAGTAGCGTCATTTTGTCATCATGTTAGTGTTCCTAGCAGTGAGTAGCGTCATTTTGTCATCATGTTAGCGTTCCTAGAAGTGAGTAGCGTCATTTTGTCATCATGTTAGTGTTCCTAGCAGTGAGTAGCGTCATTTTGTCATCGTGTAAGTGTTCCTAGCAGTGAGTAGCGCCTTTTTGTCATCATGTAAGCGTTCCCAAAAGAAAAATCATTTTGTCATCGTGTAAGGGTTCCTAGTAGTGAGTTAGGTCATCATATAAGGGTTCCTATCTGTGAGTAAGGTCATCATATGAGGGTTTCTAGCTTGAGTAAGGTCATTTTGTCATCGTGTAAGGGTTCCTAGTAGTGAGTAAGGTCATCATATAAGGATTCCTAGCAGTGAGTAAGGTCATTTTGTCATCGTGTAAGGGTTCCTAGCAGTGAGTAACGTCACCATATAAGGGTTCCTATCAGTGAGTAAGGTCATCATATAAGGGCCCCTAGCAGTAACTGAATAAAGTCATTTTGTCATATAGCCGTTCCTTACAGTAACCGAGTGATGTTGTCACGACTTGAACCACCTTGAAATAAATACCTGAAACAGCCACGACGAAAAGCCCCCAAAACACGACCGACTTCATGGTAGTGGCTGAGAACTAGTTACTTGTGTCGAGCTAGCCTTATCAGACACGAGGTGCGGCCACAGATATGTGTTGTGAACTCACCAATGAACAGAATACACTTTAAGGCTCTCGCAGAAATGAAACAAGTAATTGTTTATGGCCACAAAGAATTGAAAAAATAAAATATGTCCAGGCATCGTCTGTTGTTTATAAATGATGGTTAAGCCCCGTAGTGTTATAGTGATCTGACGTCATAGTTGGATCTAACGTTATAACAATTCTATTATTGCATGTATGGTCTTATAACTGTCTTATTAGACTTGTTTATGTTTATTTTCAAATGACTAATACATATGTTTAATGTCATGACTAATACATGTGTTTAATCTCATGACTAATACACATGTTTAAGTCATGACTAACACATATGTTTAATGTCATCACTAATACATATGTTTAATGTCATGACTAGTACATATTTTTAATTCATGACTATTACATATATTTAATGGCATGACTAATACATATGTTTAATGTCATGATTAATACATATTTTTAATGGCATGACTAATACATATTTTTAAAGTCATGACTAATACATATTTTTAATGTCATGACTTATACATATTTTTAATGTCATGACTTATACATATTTTTAATGTCATGACTTATACATATTTTCAATGTCATGACTTATACATATTTTAATGTCATGACTTATACATATTTTTAATGTCATGACTGATACATATGTTTAATGTCACTAATACATATCAACCCATTGGGGGATCCGGGTAAGAATATTATGCTTGGAAGCGACTGGCGACTGAATGGAGCGGGCAGTCAGGCTCGGTGACTTGCAGACTGACTGACTGCATGCCAAGATATCCCAATTACGTGAAATGATTATCTTATGTCAATCCCAGGATTGTCTGGTGCAGACTCGATTATTCACAGACCGCCGTCATATAGCTTGAATATTGCTGAGTGCACGTTAAACACAAACAAGCAAACAAATGGTAGGGCTACCTATATGGTCTATCTAAAGAAATGAAAGAAGGGAACATACACATAGCGATTTTCTTCGTCTGTAGGTATGCTTCGGGACAATAAACTGATTTGAGGCGGGGTGTTGGGTAGTGAATTGGACGGGGATGAAAGTCGTTTAATTAGGGCCAAGGGGTTGAAGATTTTTAATTATGTCAAAGAGGCGTTGTATTTCTAGGTTTTGTGTTAGGGGCGGTAGGGCAGCCAACAACTGGTTTGTCTGGTCCAGAATCCATTATGTACAAGCCACAGTCATACAGATGGAATATTGCTGAATAAAACAAACTAGGCAACCCATCAACGCTGGAAGCGTTCGTAAAATCTATCTTATGCTATTATATATGCTTTAACACAGTGAAGCAAACCAACGTTGAAGTTGATGTAGTTTGTTTGTTTGTTTGTTTAACGCCGCACTCAGCAATATTCCAGCTATACGACGGCGGTCTGTGAACAATCGAGTCTGGACCAGACAATCCAGGGATTGACATCATAAGCATCGATCCACACATTTGGGTTACGACGACATGCATCTACTAAGTTAGAGAGCCTGACCACCCGATCCCGTTAGTCGCCTCTTACGAAAAGCAAAGTCGCCACTTACGACAAGCATGGGTTGCTGAAGACTTGTTCTACCCCGGATCTTCACGGGTCGAAGATAACGTAGTGTCCCAAACATTCTGGACAATATAACCAATTGCAGACGTACCAGGTATGGTCATATTGTATTTATAGAATCTTATTTATTATAAGGGATGGGAATCAGGGAGAGGTGACTCAAAATATTACAGTTTCTTAGGGGCAGGAACAAAATGTATAGGTATGTTATGATTGAATTTTAATAATAACAACAAAAACAATAACAATTATAATATATGTGTGGTTTTCTTGACTAAAAGAAACTGACAATTTTGCGCTCCTAGGATCATAGATTAAATGCACAAAACGGGACAAACTCGAAACAATAGGACATTAATTTATGGATGGTCCCTTTTCAATGTTTATGGACAAAATATATGCCCTTCTTCCACATTTACTTAAAGATGGGATGCCCCAAGAAAACGACTTCATTCCTTGCAGATGTAGAAATTCAGAACAATCGTCGGAAGATATTAAGGTGTGTGTCGGTGTTATTTCTGAAGATTACACACCGTTGAAAGAAACTGTAACCTCGAAATGTACCGTTATGTTGACTATTATTCATGTTTTCTGTTACATTATGTGTCACAGAATACTAATTTAATCCGAATACTCCACTTACTGTCAGGACCGTACACACATCTATAAAAAATTCCTTTATCCGGAAATCCTTTAATCTGGACGAATTCACCAAGAACGGTAGCGTGCCAGTACGAATTAACGGGGTTACACTGTACCGATAGAGTTTAAGTGCATGTGTACTGGTATTTCAACACGCATATATTAAAAATAAGTGTTTTACGTTATTTCATTTTCATTATGCTTACTTCGATCTGAAACGACTTTACATATCAACCTACAAGAACAGACTATTTTGTAAACATTTTAAAAGTTAAGCACCGTGACCAAATCGTTCTTTATAAATTTTGACAGTAATGGTGAGTGAGTGAGTGAGTTTGATTTTACGCCGCTTTTAGCAATATTCCAGCAATGTCACTGCGGGGGACACAAGAAATGGGCTTCACACATTGTACCCATGTCGGGAATCGAACCCGGGTCTTCGTCGTGACGAGCGAACGCTTTAACCACTAGGCTACCCGACCGCCCCGACAGTAATGGTCATGTAAATATTCGATATTCAACACACCAGCAAAGGATGGACACATGAATCGAACAATAAATTTGTAACAATATTGTTATATTGTAATTTACACAGATGGACAAATTCTTACGTTTTCCAGAGGTCTAAAATAATGAAAAAAATATGTTAGACTTGGGGCGCTCGCTCTTTAAGCCGAAGACCCGGGTTCGATTTCCTACATGGGTACAATGAGTGAAGCCTATTTATAGTGTCTCGCCGGAATATTGCTGAAGGCGGCGTAAAACAATGCTCACTCACTCACTCACTGTTAGTCGTGATTTCATTTGGTCGTTGTTGTAAGTTCTCCTTACTTATAAGCAGAACGATGTGTGTTGACGATGTTAATTTTCAATCATATTAATTACAATATCTTTTTTATAAATTATATCAGAACTGCAAAAGAAACTTTATGTCACACAGGAAAATAAACATTGTTTTGTTTCGTGTGAAAGAAATCTGTCCTGTTCCTGGTATAACCTTAGAGATTTAATGAAAAATGTCATCATATTCTTGTAACACAATATTCACAGATAAAAAAACGTTACTACTGTGAGTATATTTGACTTTGTCCAACTTCTTTCGATGTGATGGTTGTAGTGAATATACACTGCCGGGAAAAGGAAATATACACTTGAATATTGGATTTAAGTAAAAAATTACAAACGTGATGAAAATCATACTAGGAAAACAGTCGCCGAAACACTGCAAACCTGAGGTACAAAACACAACTAGATACCCGTATTAAATACGTCACCATCGAATAGTGAGTGAGTATGGTTTTACGCCGCTTTTAGCAATATTCCAGCAATATCACGGCGGGGGACACCAGAAATGGGCTTCACACATTGTACCCATGTCGGGAATCGAACCCGAGTCTTCGGCGTGACGAGCGAACGCTTTAACCACTAGGCTACCCGACCGCCCCTTTCCATCGAATAACCATTTCTTGTTTGTTTCACTTCAGCCACCATCAAACATGGGTGAAAACTAGTGCTTTCTTTTGCCCGGTTGCTTATATTGTTGTTTGTTTGTTTGTTTGTTGTTTAACGCCGCACTCGGCAATATTCCAGCTATATGACGGCGGTCTGTATAAATAATCGAGTCTCGACCAGACAATCCAGTGATTGGAATCATAAGCATCGATCCACGCAATTGGGATCCATGACATGCATCAACTAAGTCAGCGAGCCTGACGACAAGCATTGTCGCCTTATGAAACGTCTACTATGAATACATAAACCTAGAAATGTGTCATATCGGTCAAAGTGTTAAACAGTTCTCCAAGTTACCTAATCATTAATAGCTACTGCTATATCTCAAACAGAAAGCAGGCACGTAAGGATGAGGATATGACTAGAACCCGTATGTACATAGTTCACTTCCTGTTGAACAGTGAATATTTGGTTGACATATGCCCCTACATTTCATCTGGAACAAATATAAACGAAAGAATTTATAACTGCAAAATAGAATACAGTTTCACTACAAGATGTATTTAAAACCATGTCATAATTAATGTTGAAATATGAAACAAATCGAACAAACCATTTTTTTGAAGGAATACAAAATGCCACGCAGAATAAATACAAACACAATTATTCTCATTATTTAAGATTTATTAATCACACATGTCTTTCGATACCACGTGAAATTTGACACCATGTCACCAACACTACTCATTGACGCCATACAGACTATCACATGACCCCTAGATATAGCAGAAACTCTTGTCGTCGTAGGATTAACATCAAATAGCATTACAAACACACAATTATCAAGCTCACTTGAAAATGATAGGGATATTTTAGTCGTCATAAATTAGTCTTCACTGCCACGCTGGCATTTATGACTATACCGCTTCAACGCCGGAAAGTTAATATCAGAAGGTTTCTTATCTATCTGGGTATATCTCAACACCAAGTGCAATGTCAACGGCTTTGTCAATGTCATAACAACTCGTATATCTACATTATGGCTATCTGTGGGTACATTTTGACAATTTATATGTTCAAATGAAGAATTTCTATAGATTATGAAGTAGTTGTACTCGACCTTTCTTGCTTTATGTCTCAATGTTATGTCGAATGGAAGAGCCCATGGAATACTGGTCCTGTATCTGGAATGTATATTGTAGGTATAAGCGAGTTTAGGTATTGGCAGGGGGTCTATAAGTAATGGAATTCACGCGAGATGATTTACCCTCGTACTTTTAACGATGGAATTACGACTCTTGCTCCAAAGTTGTTTGGTCAGTGTTACAACATTTCAAGGCTTCAGTACAGCTT